CTTTAGATACCATCGCCAACTATCAGCTGTCTGCTGGATCAAGTTGCCGCCAAAATCTCCCAAGAACTGCACAATGTGACGCATCAACATATTGTGAAGCAGTATACTATGAAGGAGTGAGGAAATTACAATAAACCGAATAGAAATACTTAAGACTTGGCGTAAAGTTCTAGATACCAGGCCATAAACTCCAAAAAAAAAAATAAGTAACATTAGCATTTGTCAGGCAGCTTCGTTTAATTAAAAATACGATTTTAGGTACATACTTACTATAACTTCAACAGAAAAGCAAACTAAAAATTAATTTTAAATATTAATACTTAGGTAAAGTTTTCCCTTCGCGTATTAATTTATAGATTACAATTAGAATATAGTAAATTATTTCACAGTTTCGGTCAGTATTAATAATTAGAATTTTTGATAAAAAAATGTTAAGTTTTTAAGTAAGTTTTCCTCTTTCTTTTCATTTCTCTTAATCATTTTAGTCCTTTCAAAATAAAGAGTATACCGTCAAAAACGTATATTATGTATGTACAACGTACCTGTATGTTTTTGACAGTATTTCATTTCTTTTTGTAGACAGTTATATCTAGGTAAATTATATCTACACCTATTATTCTATTATATTATACATATACAGGTACAATGATTTATTCACTGCAAATGTAACTGTAATCCTATATATTTGTATGGGATTACAAAATTAATTATATTAATTATGCAGTTAATGTATCTAGAAAACTGGACCAAAATTGCAAAATATTTTAATTTTTACTTGATTTACATACTAAATACTAATTGTATTCTAAATTTGAAGCTTCTATGTCTGCTAGAAGTGCCTTAGAGTTATGATGATCGGTCAATCAGTGATTGACAAAATTAAGAAACTTTGACTAGTTATAATTCTTAAACTACTGGTTCAAATTGAATGAAATTTGAAACGTACCGTTTCTATACAACGTCTGTTAGGTTACTAAAAATTCAGGCTTCTAGTTTTATTCACAACGAAGTTATAGGAGGCCGAAAATGGCCTGAACTGCTTCGAGAAAAGGATGGTACGGCCGTGCCGCTTTTTTGCTCGACTTGGCGGGGGCACTGCCGTGCCCCCAGATATAACACATTTAAAACAAAAAAAAAAGTCAGGAAATATTTATTGTAACAAGTTATTGTGTACAACATACTTAACACGGTTCTGCAAATTTATCCTAAAATATCATTCGAATATAAAAAAATAAAGGATCGAGTTTTATCTGGTATTAAACGTGACTTACGTGCCTTGATGAAACGATGCTTATTACGTAACCTACTGATACTGAAGTCAGATGCTATTAAGTACAAACGTTTAAGCAGGAAATTTATTTCTGCTATTTTATTTGATCGTAAATTGTATTTTGAAGCCTTTTTTTTACGTACATAAAACTGTATACATCTCCCACATAAGAAACGGCCTTATTAATGCAATACCAATAATGGATTATAATATAAATACCTGCATTTTAGACAGGATTTTTGTTAATGTTAAATCAGCCGGTAAGAGCTTTAGTCCAATACCGTTTTATGAGATATTACTACATTACCTTTTAGGGTCCCATACCCATAGGGTGAAACGGAGCCCTACTATTATTACCCTGCTGTCTGTCGATCTGTCAATCTCTTCGTCAGTATGTCATGGATCATTAGCGTGTAGATGGAAGGAGTTACTCCCGAAATTGTTATCGAATTTGATTCAGTTTTCGATTTAAGCTGATTTCGTTTCGAAACTGATTTTAAAAGTTCAATAGGGTCGGGAGCCCTATTGAAATCGAGAAACATGATCGATTTACGATCAAACGTTACCAGCGCCATTAGACACAACCGGATATTTATTTATCCAGAGTTCAATAAAAAAATCATTACTTAAATATTTATATTACATAAGGACAAACTTGTCACGAATAAACGCGGTTGACAGCAGAGGCTTCCGTTCTAATAATTCAAATTTAAGCCAACATTCGATTTTGCGCTAGCTTTGGTTATAAAATTACATTGAATTCCATTAAAATGCGATTGATTCACAAGTTCATAACTCAATTACGTCAGGAGTAGGCCAGCTGAAATTTGGATATTTATTGTAGAGTGTTGACCCAAAACCGAATATCGAATTAGAAATTCAATTAAATGTATTTTATTTTATTTTTTATTTCAAGGTGTCGAATATTTTTTTATTAGATTTATTTTGATCTTCACAAAGAAAGAAATGGGGAGCCAACAAAACTGTCACTTTTAGAGCGTTTTTGTTACTCGTTTTTCAAAAACTTAACGAGTTAAAAATTTGAAATTTCCGTATATTTTGTATCATCTACTGTATTTAAACAACAAGCACTGGAAACATATTATTCATTACCTACCTATAAAGTTTGTAAGCTGTGACCAAAACAAACATTTTTATGTTGTTTTTCTTTAATGGGTTACATAATGATTTCTTATATTTACGCGAACACTACACATTGAATAAAACTACTTTTACGGATTTTATTGCGTTTAATTAACTTATTTTGCTTATTTTTATTAATTCCCGACGTTTTGGGTGCTTTCCAGTACCCATGGTTACATTGCTTCTTGATAACAACGCCCGGCTACATACTGCACAAAATACGTTGACAAAATTAGCAGAGTTAAAGCTAGAGACCCTTCCTCATCAATCATAGTCCACCCTCCAGTCCATATCTTGCCTCAACAGACTTCCACTTTATTCGAAATTTGGATATCTTTTTGAAATTCATAAATTTAAATTCCGAAGAAGCAGTAAAAGCGCCTATGAAAAATTGGTCGATTCTCGTGAAGCAGACTTCTATAGCATCATTAAACCCATAAAATAGCAAGAATATGTTAATAGTTAAGGCAAATATTATCAATATTTTAATATTTTTTGTATACAAAACGGCAATTTCATTGGTAAAGAATTATCTTCAAAAATAATGAAATGGTGTCTAGTTGTTGATGTATGGAACCCTACAACGAAACTCAATACACACTTGGCTGTTTTTCTGTCTTTTATAAATATATAATAAATAGAAGCATTGTAATAGAACAAAGTACGTATTTCTGTATCCGATACATAAAACAGGCACAATTGTAATTCCCCCTCAAGTCTGTCAATCACTGAACTATGAGTGATGTTATGTTGAAGGCTTTATAAAAAATTGATCGATGTATTCATTTAGATTTTGTAAAAATTTTTTGCAAAGGTGTGGCAATACTTCACGTTGGGGCAGTTGTTTACACAATACAAAGCGCAAGCAAGCAAGTTTTGTAAAAAAATTTAGATTTAATTTTGTAAAAAATCTAAATGAATACATCGATCACATGAAACCTTGCTTGTACGGTATAAAGTAATTTAAGTCAAAGTAAGATAAACTGCGGAACTGTTCAAAGAGAACATGCACTTGACCGAGTTATATCCGCGCGTAGCGGATTATGGAACCTTGAATCATTTCGCTTGTGTTTCGCGAGGCGGAAATTGTCAACGCTGTAGTTCGGAGTTTACGAGGAAAATTTATAGATAAATATAAACAAGTGATATTTGCAAGGAAAATTACTATTAACAAGCGCTGGTAGCCTTGTTGAAGTTAGGTCAATGCGTAAATTAAAGATCCTTTTGGAATTATTATCGCATAAATTATCACAAATAGGTACATACACACACACACACGCATATGTAAGGTTCGAGTTGTCAACAAGAATAAGATTGATGTTAGTTAATATTATTCTTGTCAACGATATTAACTCACATTGATACTGTTATTACTAACCGTATTTGTATATATTATATATTATAATATATACATCAAATACATTAGATCAAAAAGGACCTACGAGTACGAGTATAGCCCTTATTAATTTATATCCTTCTGATCGACGATCTACGTTACAGGCTTACAAAATTTATTTTACATGCAAAAAAAAATTTTGTGCGTGTATGCTTTAATCTTACACTGCTTAGAAAGATAGGTATTCAAGAGATAAATATAAGTAGATAAATTACAAAGGAAAAACAATTGAAATGAACGTATCTTATTACGTATATTATTCGTGCAGAAAGAGCATGTTTTGAGGAGCAAATTGCTGGTCAATCAACAGCAACCTAATACGAGTATATATAACTTAACCTAACTATTCAGTTTCTACAACTGACGATTACCGAAATATTACTATCAATACTATTAAAAATAAAATACGAGTATGTATATATACATTGGACGTGTTGTGTGAAAAATTGATGCTTTGACCCTAAAATCATATTTATATTAAAATAATAACCATTCTTAAAATCGTATGATGTTCGACGTTGGAATATCGAAGTTGGAAATGTCAACGATATTCACCATTGTACCTGTGACAGCCGTGTCACAGTCCAACTGTTCTCCTTAGACTGTGGCCGTGTATTGTCTATATGTTCAAGCAAAACGTTCTTACTAAATCCGCACATGAAAGTATGTTCACGACACAAAATTTAAAGTAGATAATAGATTGCCTCACAATGTGTTATTATTTCAATTTCCTTTCGTTTTAATTTCTTTTCCCAACTACTGGCTGTTTTAAAGTGTAATACTAGCCGATACTAGCTGTACCACAGATTAAATAATAGTACTATGTACCTATTACACGGCCGTCCAGTTATCCAACTCAAAACGTTTGCTCGAATTTTTCTTGGACCACGGTAAAAGTATGCTCTTTCAATAAAAAAATTAGCTAACCAAACTCAAAGATATCATGTAGATATGAAATAAAACAACACAGTCGAATTTTTTTTATGTGTAACACTATATAAATAATATTGATATTCTGAGGAACAAAATAGCAACATATTGGAGGACAGTACATCCCAAAATACTATAATACTATTTTGAAATAATTATTACATCTTTAAAATAAAATTAGATTATGGAGTAGGTTGTACGGAGTATAAAATTGGTTAAAAATTAACTGAAGAAAATATCACAAATGAAAGCGGAACTTACTTGTAAGGATCCTGTAGTTCTTCAGTGACAAAGTTTAGATAGTTCCAACCTCCGAAAGCGAAGAGCCCGGAGTAGAAAGCCAGCGCAATACTTCCGGGATAATATTTACCCTCGAAAGGTCGTTGGAAATTTTCCGTGTGACCTTAAAAATAAAACAAAAAGCGTGTTATGTAAAAAAGCTTGATTCCGAAGAAACTCAATGTCTAAATTAAAATACACGTAACTGTTACCAAAGAGAATATACGAGTAATTAACTACGTTTACCTGTTACTTTGTAACTTATTAATTAAGCTTTTAATTTTTATATAGAAGCGACTTTTATGGTATGTATCTCTCGGTAGAGAATAATTGTGTTCTGTGATAAGTATACACTATGTCAATCAATATTACGACGAATCATCTTATCAAGTTGTGGAAGTCTACCAGTTAATTATTTTTACAACGGCAATACTTATAGTATATAGAAATTATTCTCAGTATTAATGCTGTATAATATCTACAGAAGGAAACAGAAACAAGAAATGGGTCGCAACATGTTCCTGAGAAGAACTAAAAACAATAAAATCTGCTGTTACCAACCCGCTTCCCAAGCGCGTGCGCGCAATGGATTTTTAATATGGGTAACAGTAAATGAAAATTAATAAATAGTATTCACATTTGAAATTGATAAACATGAATAATATGATAAACCACCTGCATCAGTCGTCGAATCTTGCGTGGATGCATGCATCCGAGATTTCATTAACGAATTAAGTCGTTGACCATTATTTTAGACTCGACTAAGTTTTTAAAATCTAATTTAGGACGATGTCAAAATAAAGATGTTGAATGGTCTAAATTTAGAAAAAATATCTCTTTTAGTTAAAACGTTGATTTCCGAGTATACTTATACTGTTTTATCAAAATAGAAATTGATATACGAAAGTAAAATTTTTTGCTCGAAAGTGAATTTTGAATGGTATTTTACAAAGCTTTAGCTAGCTAGCTGCAATCTCACACCTCTTGGAATCTTTCTTATTTATTTGCCATCATCTGGTAAATTGTTATTGTTCACAATGTCTATTATAGAATTACTAGTTTACAGATAGTAATAGAGATAACAAAAAATAGATAGAAAATATGTATGTGTCGAAGATGCTTATGAGCTGGACTTCTGCGCAGAAATTAGAAACTTTTTTAATAATTTAATAGTTTTGAAAGTGGACTGGTGAAATTATTAATTTGTGATCTTTGGTGGTAGATCATTCCAGCACTTCGTGAGCGTAACACAGAAGCTGCTACTAAAGATAAATATGATGCTTAGGGTATGTGAGAGAGAACTTGAGCTTTTCAACAACAGTGAGGAACTGTATTATTCAGTATTTATTATTCCAAAAAGCAATGACGCGTAAAACGAGTAGCCACATTCATTTGGTTGCATCATTTGAAAATGAAGCGACATGTGTTCGCTTACGTGTGTAGACGTTTTGAACTCGTTGCATCAAATTTATTGTCCTAGCATGCAAAGAATATTCAAATACTATATATTCATAATTTTATAAAAGAATATATCTTTATTGTCTGATTCATCATCGCCGAGCCGAAACCGCTGAAGCTAAAATAATCTGAATTTGGAACTGTAACTTACTTTTATAATGTAAGCACCCAATAATAAACGATTTTGCAACATTTTTCTACAGGGGATAATATTTAAGTTCCTATAAAATTTATAAAATTCATTAAAATAGGCTTATTGGCCTTTTGGTTAGAAAATAATGAAAACGTATACTGAGATTGTTGGAAATTATCCCATTTAGTGTAAAATAGGGAGGGTAATTTGTATAAAAATTCCATTATTTTTGCAGTCAAAACCATGATATTAGTCTTTTTATTAAAAAATAACAATGAAATGTTTCAGCATCTTTCAAAAATCATATCCGTCATATTATAACAAGGTAATTTGTATAAATTAATATTGTTTTAATTTTACACCCTCGGTTAATATAGCGGCTGTTAGGTTATCATATATCATAAATAATAAAAGATTGTTATTATATGGCAGATAATCTAAAAGACTAGTACGTACAGTAGTTGATATATTTTATCTCATTACATATCCGCAAAACAAGACTACGGTACGGTTAGTTCTTACGGTAGATATTACATTTGTATCACCATAAATATGTCCTCTTTGAGCTTGTTACGGTCATTCTGTCGTGATCTGCAGTACTGTAAGGACCATCAATAATACACTATATAGGACAGTAAGGACCGAAAAACTCCTAGGCTAAGTAACCTATTTATTTTGCCATTATACCATTGCGTTTAAATGTAATGCAGTGGTTTTTTTTTAATTAAAAATGGGCTCACTCTTGACCTCCATCTGGTCCGAGGGCAAAGCTTAGGTCTACGATGGAGCGAGTTTGCCTAGAAGAAGCCTATTAACACGCACCTTGAAGAAGTCCAGGTTATAGGCACTCGGGAAAACAGACGCCGGCAGGGCATTGCACTCCTTGGCTGTGCGCATTATAAAAGATGACTTATAGCGCTTAGTGCGAATATTCGGAATATCAACCAAGTGTGGATGCTAACCTGCAGTACGTCTGGTATTCCGATAGGAGAATGGAGATGGCGGTATGAGCTTATGAAACTCATGGCACACTCTCCGAAGTTACAATCTGTAGAAGACCGACAAACAAGCAACTTGGCTACGGTGAGCTAAGCTGTGAAGCTTATAGTTTACACCAGCTTTTTGTTGCCAATAAGCCTCTTGGCTCCGCGTTCCACTGAGTCGAGTGCGTCTAGTTGATATTTTGCTGAGCCATCCCAAAAGTGACTACAATACTCACGTTTCACTACTATAAGGTTCTGTTAAATTAATCAATGAGTTTTTGTAATTTTAAAACTATAATGGCAACACTGGTTAACAGAGGCGCTAGAAAAGGCTCGAAATGGATAAAGGAACAGCTGGAAAAGGCACAACAAAACTAATGAATCCTGGAGGAGCTTTGGTATTAGTTACGGAGTTACTTGTCTAAAAGAACATTGTAAGTGTAGTATTAAAATACTAACCAGTATTGAAGTATTATCAAAGTGATCGATGTTTCAATCATGCATCTCGAATTAGAGAAAAGCGTACACTACGAGTATTGTGTGATTGGGTCTGTGATATATGTATTACGATATGATCGATATTATTAATGTTGCTCGATGATGTTGTCTGTAATTGTTCTATACTGATGTATAGTGCAGTACACTGTTTTATTGCTGATAATGATGATTAATTGCGTAAGCAAGAGAGAAAGTTCAACATCTGCTCTCACACTTTTATTAAGTGGCGAAGCTTGCGAAGTCACTTATTGATTTCACGATGTCTGTCCGTCTGTCCGTTTGTCCGTCTGTCCGTCTGTCCCACGATTATCTCGAGAACGGTTTTGAATTTTCAAATTCTGTTTTCAGCAATCGATTACTGATCACCCAGGCATCTGAACCTCCTATTTTGAAACTGATTGCTCAACGGCAACCGTTAGAAACCGCTACAAAGCTGATTGCTTCGCCACTTTGCTATGCTGTTAGCTTGCTAGGTTTATTATTCTTAACAATTAACCTCCTGATGTATTTCCGACATACTTTTTACACATTTGTGTGTTTTATTGTCTATGACCCGTTACATATATTGTTTAAGAGTTCTTCCTTGTTTTTCTTCATACTTACTTCTGCCATCGATAAAGCATAGATGATGCTGCGAAACTAGTAGTGTGAAATAGCTTGATTTAGGGGATATTAGCTTAATTAACTTAACTGAAACAGTCAATTATGGAAAGGATATACCTTCCTATAATTGACTATTTAAGTTAAGTGAAGTTAAGTAAGAGTTAACTGGATAAATTAGTTTTAGATTTTAGAGTTATAAGATTTCGCTGTAACTCTACATTTAATATAAAACAATAAATTTTAAACTATATCCTAAAGCTTTTTTCTTGTGAATCTACATTTTAAAAATCTAACACAGGCAAGTGTGGGTAGAACTATTTTAATCAAGTTGAAATAAATAATATCAAGATGATATTAATTATTTCACTTGATACCTCTACCCGTACCTGAAAAAGCGGGTCGTGACTCGTGACGGACGGACGGACAATAAAGTGAACGAACTTAGAATATTCACAAATGTTGTCATTTTATTACTAACTAACTAACCGCGCGTAATTTATTACGATTGGATTTCATGGGTTTTAATTTTTTGCGTGGAACCCTAATTCTTTTTCTAAAAAAAAGTATCCTAAGTTAATTCTTATAACATCAGCTATCTGTCAGTGAATACCCGTTCAAAATCGGTCCAGCCGTTTCCGAGATTAGCGGGAACAAACAGACAGACAGACAGAAAGACGGACAAACAAAAATTTTAAAAGTCGTGTTTTTGTTATAAGTACCGTATATACTTTCATATGCATATAGTAAAAAGCTATTATTTCGACATTACAAACAGATAGGTACTTCAATTTTATTTATTTGTATAGATCTATACCCGTAAAATGTTTGTCTCTCTGTCCGGGCTAATCTTCAGAATGGAAAGAATAAAATCCCGAAACCCATTGTAATTAAACTTCACGAACAGATAGAGAGCAATGCCAGTAGTAATCTAGCCTATATTTTATCAAAAAATCAAAAAAATGATAAAAATGTATAAATTCTACCCAGAGTCGCTAGTTTTTTATAGCAGGCTAAATATCTTTCATGGGTTTGACCACAAAAATATGAAAGCTAACCGCTAAGAACTAACTAACTTAGCGGTTAGCCACCGTAGAGTATATCACCTGAGGATGCCTCGTGTAGAGGCGAAACACGTGTCGTATTATCATCAGTGGTGTGTCTTGCCTAATGTAGTGGTGTTCGGAGTAGCGGTGCTTTGATTAGTGGTGACGGGGATAATGCACGCAATTGAGGGAGGGCGGGAGGTGCTTCTTCATACTAGGTAAGACACATCATTTTATTTTATAATACGGATATTTGGGAAGTAAATTTTTGTAAAAGCTTTTATATAATGGATTTCCGCAAAGTAACGCCTGATTCTATTAATTATACAAAAATATGGTAGGTCCAATAACTATCTTGAAAAACGTTTTTCTTATTTTTCTAACCAAAAGGCCAAATACATATTTTTGTGACTTATCTTCGAAAACGTCGGATTTTCATACAAACTTACCCCTTTAGGGAAGGAATATCGGAAAATCGTTTATTAGTGGGTGCTTATACTATAAAAAGAAAATTATAATTAAAATTTTTGATAATTAATTCATTCAATAAGAACATCTTCATTAACATATTATCTAAATAATTTTCGTTGTTTTTCCTATTTTCTCTGTAGAGCTTATGCTGACGTGCTGTTATAGAATTCTACCCTATGTCGTCAGATTCCTCCCAGATTAGTTTGAATCATCTTTTGTATTGTAGCTAAGAAATTCTTCCTGTATTCTTAGTAGATTTCTAATGATATAAAACTTAGCTCTAGATTTTCAGGATTTGTTTAAGTTTTATACTCGTAACTAGCTCGTATCAATCTGCTTGGAATGTCGCGAGTGTTAGTACTTAAGGCTGGGTGTTCTTGTTTTCGTCGGTTTCAAAATTGGTTATTGATAGCCAAATTATTACATTTAGAATATGAAATTTATTAATTAGAATATTCTCCTTACTGTGTACCCGGTCAATACACGATACAATACAATTTTTTTGATGGAAAAAATTACCGAACTCTGTTCAATTTGCAGTTTCTTTACAAACGAAATTTCATTTTAAACAAGTACTAATACTCCTTTTCTCCTACAACAATATGAATATATTGGTAATTCATTTTTAAATCAATTCCATCCGATCGTTAACTTTCATTACATTTATTTAAAAAAAAGTTATCGATTATTCAAGTGATTTTAAATCCACACTCCTACGCCAAATTTTCGCGCGCGCACTACTCTTCTGCTACGTAAATAATATAAAGAAAATTAAATAAATTGTAAATAACAATAACTTGTAAATAATATATACGAGTTGCAAATGATGGTTACTTTAATGAATTGTTCATTGAAAGAAAGGGGTATGAAAGTGAACGCAAGTAAGACGAAAGTGATGGTTTTTGAAAGAGAAGAAAGTAAAACTTTATGTAAAATAAGAATAGAAGGGGAGTTGATTGAGCAAGTGGATGAGTTTGTATATTTGGGATGTTTATTTAGCAGGGATGGTAGATATGATAAGGATATAGAACGACGAGTGAACGCAGGAAATAGAGTGAATGGGGCTCTACACGCTATTGTGAGGAGTCAGAATGTGTCAACTAAGGCACGTATGGCAATTCATAATGCTGTGTTAGTACCCACTTTAATGTATGGTAGTGAAAGTTGGGTCTGGCAGAAGAAGCATGAGAGTAGAATAAATGCTGTAGAAATGCGTTCCTTAAGGAGTATGCTAGGGCTGAATCTGAATGACAGGGTGAGAAATAGTGTAATAAGAGAAAAGTGTGGTTTGCAAGATGACGTTGTGACAAGGATTAAGAAAGGAATGCTTCGGTGGTTTGGTCACGTAGAAAGAATGAACGAGGAAAGAGTGACAAAGCAAATTTATGTTGCAGAAGTGAACGGCAGGGTCGGGAAGGGACGCCCTAGACGAAGGTTTATCGACCAGATCGGCGATACATTGAAAATGGGCCAGATTAGGAGTACCCTTAACCGACGAGCGTGTATGCGTAGATATATGGATGTGAAAGAGGCGAGAGAGGTGTGTCAGGATCGCGCCAAATGGAAGTCCGTAGTCTCTGCCTACCCCTCTGGGTGACAGGCGTGAGTGTTTATGTATTATGTATGTAACTATAGTTTTATGGAACTTATATAGACTATAGTTAAGCTTTTGTTTGTGTCTTTATTTCTCATTGTGTTGATATTTGTTTATTAACTTTAATATAATATATTTTTGATTATTTTGTAACATACGGCCCGACTCGATCTTTGCGACGATCGCTTGTAAATACCGCTTGGAACACCCAGCCTTAAGTAGCCTTAAAGGTGACTGTACTTTGTACACACGTGTCAAGTTATCTATAATCTTATGGGTATGATCCTATTTCACAACATGCTGACAAAAATGATACCGTTCAATATAGTATACATCGAAACGAGGACATGAACATTTTCTAAAATGGTTATTCATGTTTAATAGGATGCAAAAAGTACCCTGGGCTTAATAGATGGAAGTTATTTCTATATTACAAAGAAACACAGTCCACCTGATGGTAAGTAGTTGCTGTAACCCATAGACATCCACATCACATTGTCACCCGTGAGGACTAAGATGGAATGCCTCTTTTCCAGTAAAAAGGGTCTCCGGTTCTCTACACTCACCATATGAAACACAGCAGTGTTAAGCTGCTATTTTACGCTGGTATTCTGTGAGATCGTGGACCTACCCCGGCCGAGCCGACCCATTCGTGCTACAACTATACCACGTAAAAAATGTATGTAGATGTATACACATAGGCATGTAATGTATGTTAGATATGTATACACATAGGCATTGCTTATTGATACTATAAGATATGTACATAGATAAGGTTTGCAGTTGTGCGCATCGCGGAAAAACTACTGGATAGATTTAAATTAGGTTGTCTATGTTTAATTTGTTTTTTTTTTGACACTTGGCCCTTATCTAAAAAAATATAGCGATATCTTCATTTAATATAAAGTTATTAAAGTTTTAAGAAACAACGATTTTTATAAGCGCTACGTGTTCAGTGATATAGGGTTTTTTTTTTTACCGCGGAGAAGATCAAAAACTTATTAAATATATCAAGCAACGAGAACGAAGTCGATGATGCTAATTGATGAATCATAATTTAAAATTTAAAATTTTGTACAACTGACTTCAATGTAAATTATTAAGAATAACTCAAAAACTATTGGTCAGATTGAATCACCTTGATCAAATTTATATAGCAGTATGTGACCACATGTGAAGCACCAGCTTTCAACTAATAAAAGAATCATCGAAATCAGTTCACCCAGAAAAAAGTTATGAGGAAACAAAAAAAAAACATACAGTCGAATTGAGTACTTCTTCCTTTTTGAAGTCGGTAGAAAAGGGAATAAAAATATAAGATATAATATTTTGACTTTACAAAAATCGGCATTCTCTACCTATTTTGTCAGCAGTCTAAAAGAATAATGCTTTATAAGAAAAATAACTATAGATGAATCGTAGTTAGATAGTATCTGACAGTTCTTCAATGCAAAAAATAGGAATGTAACTGTTTTCGCAGAACCGGCACCGCGACTCGAGACTCGAGTTCGGACTACCCACACACAAGTAACATTATGATACTCTGCGACACTACCATAGTTATTAATCATAATACAAAAAATTCTAAACATGTCACGGGATATTTTTCACGACTAAGGCAAAACCTCTCTACAAGGTAAATAGCCAATGTCCAGCAGTGGACTTACATTGGTTAATGATGGAGGAGAAGAATTAGTGGAACGTTCTATTTAAGTTGATGTCTTACTTCATATCTACATGTAATCAATACATTATGCTACAAAATCGAGATTTAAGATGTTGATTCCTATACATTTTACTTGTTCCATTTATTTTAGAAAGGTCTCGTAATGTTTGTTTCCTTTTCTAAATAGATTTATATTTAAAAAAAAAGATATGACATAACTATAACTGAAGTAGACTTTATGTAACAGAAAATAAAAAGAGTATTCTGAATTACCGTCAGGTAATTTTTTTTACGTGGTAGAGCCAGGTCGAAAACGGGGAAGAACCACGTTCGAATACATCAACCACAAAATACCAGCGTAAAATATCAGCTTAGTGCTGTTGTGTTTTGTATGATGAGTATAGAGAACCAGATACTCTTTTTACTGGAGACGAGGCCTCAGAGATGAAAATTCATCTGCATTTTCATTCTTAATCGAGGATAGATATAAATGTGTATGGGTTGCAGCATCGACTTAGGTTATCAGGTAAACTGTGTGCGCGTTTGTCAACCTTACTCTATAAAACATTAACATTGTTTTACAACATAAATATGAGTTTTTCATTATACATATCTATAACATTTCCAAAAATTATGAATATTAACGCTTCACTTTTTGTATGATAATTTACTATTATATTTATTAAATTTTTCCCAAAAATTTCATTTACACTTACCTATACAAATGTAGTATATACCGGCAATTATGATAATCACCAACGCCAGCAGCTTGGAGGAGGTGAACACATCTTGTATCCTCATCGTCCATCGAACGCTTATGCAGTTGATAGCAGTTAGGATACCTGTTGGAAAAAATGTCGTCCTATGAGTTCCGTAAATATAGCTTAGTAGATACGACTTTAGGGACCTTCAAGAAAAGAGCCTACTCCTTTTTAAAAGGCCTGCAACGCATCTGCAACTCCCCTGGTGTTGTAGTTGTTCATGGGCGGTAGTCACTTACCATCAGGTGAGCCGCATGCTAGTTTGCCCCCTCTCCTATAAAAAAGGTACTATTTACTTTATTTACTAGAAGGACTCTTCTTTTGTCTAGGCGTCCGTCTTTAGTTTTATTTTTTTTTTGATTTTCCGCCAGAGATTACACCATCCTTAGTGGCCGTTTATACACATTTTTTAATATAGTTTTGTTAACAAGTTCAACATTATTCTACAAAGACGGCTAATTACAAACAGCACTGCGATTTGATACAGTGGTGTTTGGTTTGACCGTACGAGTAAATAATTATAAAATTTACGAGTTTCAGTACTATTTACAAATTTTCTTATTATATACACTGTATATACACTAGAAAAATTTCACGTTTTAGGATTATTAAAGAAAATGTTGTTAATATAAAATCATTAAAACGAAAGAAAACTCTCAATTAGTTACATTTGTCTGGAAACTAGTTGATAAAAACTAATGAAATTACTAACAAAATCAAACTTGAATTGTAATAGGTACCATAAAAAGTTTTATCTATATTGTGCCTAAGTTATGTCTAGGTATTATTAAATTTTTTAAGTCTGTATACAATTGTTAATATTTTAATTTGCGTCCGTCTGGATAGGTATCCTCTTACCCATTTCTGCCACCAAATAGCGGTGCTTGAACTGCTGTGTTGTGGGGAACGGCTGTTTGAACGGTATAGAGGGTCAGTATAATTACAGGCTCTGAGGTATTGCATCTTAGTCTTCAGAGGTGACAACGTAACTGGACAACATGGACTAAAGTATCCACAATGTTACTATTAGTATACACTATGGACTATTAGTGTATTTGTCATTGGAGTTTTATAAATGATGAGATAGTAGTGGTAGGTAAACATGATGCAATAACCTCATTGTATAGCTACTCGTACTTGATAGTCAGCAAATCAGATAATTTCAACGCTAAATAAAACACCTTAATGGTATGCGAAATCCATGGAATGTTACGATAAGTTGCACAGTATTTAGCATAATATTTAAATCCTGTTTTATCTTAACAGTACAACATCCCGACTAATACTAACCTTTACTCGTCCGTATTTTTCAACAAAATAACAAATATTTAAGTAGGTAATACGCGCATATAATTTGCTCAATATATTTTTTTTAATAATTCCCTCATTGGTTATTTCAAAATCATATGCAGTAGAGCCACGATTCAGGTAAATTATGGTTGTGACATGAATGGGTCGGCTCCACCGGGAGAGGACCACGCTTTTACAAAATGCCAGCGTGAATAATAGCAACTTAATGCCTGCTATGTTTCGTGTAGTGATTGTAGAGAACCGGAGACTTTTTTTACTGGACACAAGGTATCCCATCTTAGTCCTCAAATGTAGCAACGCATCTGCATTTTTATTGTTAATTAAGAATAGACGTATCTATGTTTATAGGCCACGGGATCTATTTAACATCAGGTGGACTCTGTGCTCGTTTACTCTTACTCTATTAAACCTTTCCTGTACCCTTACTCTATTAAAAAATAATTTCAATCGTCAGTTTAAATAAAATATTCTGATGCCTATCTTCTTGTTCATACTACTAAGTTCCCTGATCAGAGATACGAATATAAGCTTGGAGGACTAGTTTATTCTTAATTTGGATCCGCTCCGGCTTAGCCTGGGTAAGAAAGAGATCTATTAATATGGCGATATTAAGATTTAAGATAATTATTAAAGACCATCAATTTTATCAATTTGTCGATTTAAAAAAAATATCCAATGAACCCTAACCATTCCGAAAACCTTGTAGTTAATTTTTCAGATTCTTTGGAGCGTTTTCAATTTAACAGCACCACCACAGCACAGTTTTTTATTAAATTTATATTATATATAATATTTATATTATATACCTCGGCACATCCCGATAAGGAAGTGGAAGAAATCTCTAGATTTCTTCCACCTCCTTATCGGAGAGAGCCATGCATTCCTCCAAAACCCATTATAGGGTGTTAATGAAAGACTTCAACGCAAAACTAGGCACAAGAGAGAAGAGTCAGTTGAAGGTAGGGAAATTCGTGATAAAGCAACGGAACCTAAGGGGCCAGCAGCTGGCTGATTTTATGTAGAAAGGGGGACTCTTTATGATGAACTCTTTCTTTCCGAAGTAGCTTCACAGTAAGTGGACCTGGTCGAGCCCTGATGGTTCGACAAAAAATGAGATTGACATCATTATGACGACTAGAAGGCAACTGCTCATTGATGTCGCAGTGATCGCGAGGGTGAAAACTGGCAGCGATCATCGAATGGTTAGACGCACACTGAATCTAAAAGTTAAGTTGTAGAGGTCATGTCCAATGAAGTCAACGCTCCTTCCCTCTCGTGCTCTAATTCAAAACCCTGAAAACTTTAAGCTCGACTATAAGCTTTAAGTCGAGAAACAAAAACATTTTCAGTGCCTAGAAGATCGCGAGGCAGTGGACGATATGAATGACAAGCTCGTGAAAACTGTCCATGCGGTCGGAGCAAGTTCTGCAAGACCCGTCGCAGAACAACACAAAATCTCTTCGAACACACTCTTAATCTCATAGTTGTTAGAGAGAAAATGAAGCTGCAACTTTAATACAACTCGTATTGAACAAGCGATCGAGCGGAACCAGCGGAAAGTTTGGACGTATTTACCACAGATCTGTCTGCCAGAAAGAGCCAACTGTCCAAGCTGAAGACCCAATGTGTACTCCGAAGATTTCGAGTGAGATTGGGAGATTCTATGGGCCGCTGTACACATCGTCATTGGAGTCACACGCAAATATAAGTAACGATCCAAGAGCAAGCTAGTCTTATCCGACACTATTCCGCTGATATCCCGGCCGGTTATCTGAGCGGGATTAGGATAGACTCTTCAGCACCTTAAAAACAAGATTATTAATGATAAATTGAAAGCATTACAGTCATCAGTACAGCATTACACTTTTTTTTCTTAAAAGTTGAACACCGTGTTAAGGAAAATAATGTATAAATGATAATGTAGTTACTGTCAGTTTGTTTATCACTCTGAGATAGTAAAAAATAATCTTTATATGACTATTAAGTGGTTTTTTTACACGGTAGAGCCACGCTGCAGATTTATTGTGGTTGTAAAACGTATGGGTCGGCTCCACCGGGGTAGGACCACGCTTTCACAGTACATCAGCGTAAAATAGCAGCTTAATGCTGCGGTGTTTCGTATGGTGAGTGTAGAGAACCGGAGAGCCATTTTACTGAAAACGAGGTATTCCATCTCAGTCCTCAGGGGTGACAACGCATCTGCGTTTTGATTCTTAATTGAGGATAAATGTAGATGTCTATGGGCCACAGCATCCATTTACCATCAGGTGGACTGTGTGCTCTTTGTCACCCTTATTCTATGTAAAAAAAGTTATAAATCATATTAAAACCTTCAATATAGGATTGATATATTTCAATACTTACTGATTAATGGAACCACCATTCATTGGGATCAGAACAATAAGACCTTTGATGAATAATTAGGTTAAGAGAGAGTTTCCGCCTGTATAATTAATGCAGAACGATCGTATGATTGACGGTTTCATTGAACTCCCTCAAATTTAATACCTACTCATAGTTTTCCTGTTTCATTTGCATTTAATTGCGATAGACAATGCTCAAATTCAAAATGAAAAACATTGTTTATCGTAATTAATTGCAGTAATACCTGATAAGGTAACATGTGAGAGTTATAGAACATAATCAATTGCAGTAATACCTAATAAGGTAACATCTGAGAGTTATAGAACATAACCAATTGTAGTAATACCTAATAAGGTAACATGTGAGTTATAGAACATAATCAATTACAGTAATACCTAATAAGGTAACATCCGAGAGTTATAGACATAATCATTTGTAGTAATACCTAATAAGGTAACATCTGAGAGTTATAGAACATAATCATTTGTAGTAATACCTAATAAGGTAACATCCGAGAGTTATAGAACATAATCAATTGTAGTAATACCTAATAAGGTAACATCTGAGAGTTATAGAACATAATCAATTGCAGTAATACCTAATAAGGTAACATGTGAGAATTATAGAACACAATCAATTACAGTAATACCTAATAAGGTAACATGTGAGAGTTATAGATCATAATCAATTGCAGTAATACCTAATAAGGTAACATGTGAGAGTTATAGAACATAATCAATTACAGTAATACCTAATAAGGTAACATGTGAGAGTTATAGAACATAATCAATTGCAGTAATACCTGATAAGGTAACATGTGAGAGTTATAGAACATAATCAATTACAGTAATACCTAATAAGGTAACATGTGAGAGTTATAGAACATAATCAATTGCAGTAATACCTGATAAGGTAACATGTGAGAGTTATAGAACATAATCAATTACAGTAATACCTAATAAGGTAACATGTGAGAGTTATAGAACATAATCAATTGCAGTAATACCTGATAAGGTAACATGTGAGAGTTATAGAACATAATCAATTACAGTAATACCTGATAAGGTAACATGTGAGAGTTATAGAACATAATCAATTACAGTAATACCTAATAAGGTAACATGTGAGAGTTATAGAACATAATCAATTGCAGTAATACCTGATAAGGTAACATGTGAGAGTTATAGAACATAATCAATTACAGTAATACCTGATAAGGTAACATGTGAGAGTTATAGAACATAATCAATTGCAGTAATACCTGATAAGGTAACATGTGAGAGTTATAGAACATAATCAATTACAGTAATACCTAATAAGGTAACATCTGAGAGTTATAGAACATAATCAATTGCAGTAATACCTAATAAGGTAACATGTGAGAGTTATAGAACATAATCAATTAC